ACACGGACTCTCACGGGACAGAGAATGGAAACCCGTGGGACACGGACCCTCACGGGACAGGGACACCTCTACAGGGACATGGGTACCATGGACACCCAAGGGACATGGCACCCGAGGGACAGGGACACCCGTGGAGCAGGGACACCCACGGGACAGGGACGCCCCCACGGGACACATACCTGTGGGACCCGGGCACCCCCGGGACATGACAGCCGAGGGACATGGGCATCCACGGGACAGGGACACCCGTGGAGCAGGGAAATCCCCACGGAACATGGACACATTCCGTGAGACAGAGATACGCGGGGGGCGTGGACATACACGTGGGACAGCCGTGGGACAGGGACCTCCACGGCACAGAGACACGCGTGGAACAGGGAAATCCCCACGGGGCACCGACACCCCCACGGGACACATACCTGTGGGACATGACACCCGTGGAGCACGGACACCCCACGGGACACTGACACCCTCCGTGGGACAGAGATACGCGGGGCACATGGACATAACATGGGACACCCGTGGGACAGGGACCTCCACGGCACAGGGACACGCGTGGAGCAGGGAAATCCCCACGGGATACCGACTCCCCCGTGGGACACAGATACCTGGGGAACACGGACACCCCCACACTGGACATGGTTACTCGAGCGACAAGGACACCCCTGCGGGATATGCACCCACCCCACGGGACACAGAGACCCGTGGGACAGGGATCCTGACTGGACACGGACACACCCCCCCCAGGGGAGAGGGACACCTGTGGGACACGGGCACCCACGGGGCAGGAACACCCTCCACCCCCCACGGGACACGGATACCCCTGGGACACGGACACCCCCACAGGACACGCACCCACCAGTGGGATGGCGCACACGGGACATGGATCCCCATGCGGGACACAGACACCAGCGGGACACAACACCCCACGGGACACAGCCCTCCCCGTGCTCGGGACACGGGCACCCTCCGTGGGACACAGGAACCTATGGGACACGAACCTCTCCCCCGTGGGACACGGCACCCCACGGGACACAGCCCTCCCAAGAGACCCAACCCCCTCCTATTGCACCCGCACCCACGCGAGACACGGCCCCCCTCGGGACACGAATTGCCCGCGTGGGGATGCGGTACCTCCCCGTGGCGGAGCATCCCCACAGGACACGACATCTCCCACGGGACACTCGTTATCCCCATGGCTCATAGACCCCCCCCCCCCCCCACGAGAGACAACCCCCTCTCATCGCACACCCGTCCCCTCATGGGACACATCCCCTCCGGGGGACACAGCCCCCGCGGGACACGACAGCCCCCGCGGGACACATCCCACCCCACGCACACTTGTCCCCCCATCACACCGCCACACCAAACACCGCCCCACGAGCACCATCACTCCACACAGCTCCCCCCAGCCCCTTTATTCCCCGCGGGGGGGTCCCGGCTCGCTCCCGCGTGGGTCGGTGGGTCCGGTCAGGGGAGCAGCGCGGGCCCCTGCGGGAGAGGGGTCGGTCAGTCCCGGTCTCGGGGACCCCCCCGGTCCCTCCAACCCCCCGCAGCCCCGGTCCCGCTCACCGGCAGCGGATCCTCCCGACGGGGGGGACACGGGGGAGGGCGGCAGCGCCCGAGAGGGGCCGGGACCTGCGGGACAGCGACCGTGGGAGGGGGAGAGAGGGGACCCGCGGGACAAGAGGGAAAAGGGGGCATCACCCCCAGGTGTGGTTAATCCCGGGGGGGGGTTGAAATTCCAGGGTGGATAATCTGGGGAAGTGTAACCCAGGAAGGATAATCCGAGGAGAGGGAATAATCCAGGGAGGATGATTTGGGGAAGTGTAACCCGGGGGGATAATATGGGAGAGAGTAGCTCTATGGGGGAGATAACCCGGAGGGGGTTAATTTTGGGGGAGGGATAATTGGGAAAGGGAGAATTATACCCTACACCCCCCCCACACCCCCCGTGCCGGGATGATAATTCCGGAAGAAAGGAACACACGGGGAGGTGTAATGTGGGGGTGGAGGATACTGGAAGGGGGGGTAATTTGGGGGGAGGGATAATTGTGGGAGAGGGGATAATCAGAGGGGGGGATAATTCGGGGAAAATGATTTGGGGGAGAATATGAGGGGGTGGGATAAATCCTTAGCGGGTGGGAATGTAAATCCGAGGTGAGAGGGGGATGTAAACCCTAGAGGAGATAATTGGGTGGGAGAGGTGACCGTAGGGGGGATAAATCCAAGAACTCGGAGGGGAGATAATCGCGGGAGGGGGGCGTAGTTGTGAGGGAGAATAATCCAGGGAGGATAATCCTGGGGGGGGGTAAACCCCGGGGGGGGGGGGTTATGGGTGGGGGGGGGGTCACAATCCTTGGGACAGGGTGGTGACTCCAGGGCAGGGTGACACGGCATCACCTTTGGAGGGGCGGAAACCATCCCAATGGGATAGGGAATGACTTGGAGGGGGATGAACCGGGGAGACGCACCCTACCTGGAGATTCGGGGGGGTCCGGAGGTCCCGCTTGCCCCCCGGGTACCAGCCGTGGGACCAGTGCTGGGCGGGGGCGCGGGGCAGGGCACAGCTCAGCACCAGCAGCGCCAGCAGCAGCAGCGACCCGCGGGGAGCCATGGCCGGGGGGCTGCGGGGGCACAAGGGGCCCTGTCCCACCGGCACCAACCCCGGGGGCACCCCGGAGGGCTGCGGGGGTCGGGGGGAGGCTTGGGAGAGATGGAGGGATGAGCCCCCATGGGGTGGTTTGGGTCCTGCAAAGATGGGAACCCCAGGGGTTGTGTAGGAGGAGGGGGTGAGCAATTCGGGGGGGGGGGGGGGGGGGGGTGGCATGGAAGAGTGGAAAGGATGGCCCAGCATTTCTTTGGGGTGAGTTTGGGATGGAGATCCAAAGGGGATGAGCACCCACGGGTGCTGCCTGGGGTGGGCTTGGGGGTAGAGATGTGGAAAGGGTGAGCACTCACGGATGCGTCTTGGGATGGAGATCCAGAGGGGATGATCCAACATCTTTTTGGACTGGGTTTGGGATGGAGATCCAGAGGGAATGAGCACCCATGGGTGCTCTCTGGGGTGGGTTTGGGGATGGAGATCCAGAGGGAATGAGCCCCCATGGGTGCTCTTTGGGGCTGGAGAAGCTGGAGGGGCTCAGCACCCCGTGGTGCTGCTGGGAGTCGGGTCCAGCATGGACCCCCCCCCCCGTGGGTGCTATTGGGGTCTGATTCGGGGTGAGCAGGACCACCCACCCCGGGATGAACCCCCCTCCCAGGGCCGGGGCAACCTCACCTGGCTGGGCAGGTGCCGGTGGCTGGAGTAGTGTCCAGTGGCCGGAGTGGTGACCGGTGGCCGGAGCAGTGGCTGCCCAGGCAGGCACTGCTATTTGAAGGGCTCGGTGACAGTGACGTCGGCCCGGCCACCGCTTCCCCGGGGACCATGGGATGGCGTCGGCCTCCCCGTGCCAGTGTCCAACACCTCCTCCTTCCCAAACTCCCCTGGCACCGCGGGACAGCACCTGACACCCCTTTTTTGGAGAGGTCTGAACACTGACCCCCGGTGCAGCTCATCAGGGTGGGGTCCCCCCAGAATGGATTCATTTCCCGATGGGAAAAGGGTGGATCCAGCCCACATGGTTCCTTTGCAGCCCTCGGGATGCTCTTGGAGAAGGGAGGGGAGTAAATCATCTGTGCATGTTTCCCCCATCTCAGCCCCAATTTCCCCAGTTGTCCCCCCATTCCAGGCTCATCACCCCCAAATCCAGGCTGGATTCTAGCAATGGCCATGCAGCCCAAAGCTCCCAGTTCCAAGGATGCCATGGAGCCCAGGAAAGGGATTTAGGCAGGATCTGGCCCTGGATTATCTCTGGCAGCTGCTCATGTCTCTGCTATTTGCAGTTGGATGCAGGATGGGGCCAGGGCAGATGCTGTGGCGAAAGGTCAAGGCAGCTCCCCAGACCCCAAAATTTGCCCTATCCATCCAGAGATCTTGAAAATGAATTTAAAAAAACGGGGGAAAACCTCATTACCAGCAGCAGGAAGCAGCCAGAACCCATTGGGCAGCGGGATGGAAGGGCTTGTTGGGGTGGTCCCTGCATGGAGCATCCATGGGGGATGAGTGCACTCCTCTTGTCCCAGGAGGGACCTCTTCTTTTGGGGTCACCACATTTATTTCTCAGTGTCACTGGCAGCTTTGGCCCAAAGTCCCCCAAATTCAGGAGCTGGGGTTGATCAGCAATGGGATGAAACTGGGGTTCATGAGGGGGTACCAGGTGATGGAGCAGGGCAAGTTCTGGGGCGTGTTTTGGGTTGCTGGAGGTATTTTTGATTGCTGGAGGGGTCCCCCTGTCTGTGTGCATCCACCAAACCGCCCTGTGAACCCTGCCTGGATGGAAAAGCTGGAAAACTTGGATGCTCTGGCTCGTGGGCTGTTTTTTTCCCATGTTTTCCTGCATTTCAACCCCATTCCCCCTGAGTCCTGGGGCATGCCGGGGCAAGGCTGTCACCATTTCTGGGCCCTGCCACCCACCCTGTGCTCCCTGTCACTGTTTGGGGAGTCCAGCCAAATCCTTAAGGGGAAGCTTCCACTCCAAACCAGTTCTCCCAGTGCCTGCAGAGGGGATGGAGCTCCTCCAGCTAACCTGGGCACGGTTACCCTGACTGCAGGAGGAAAAAAAAAGAAGGTGTTTCCCCAGACACCCCTTTATAACAAAAAAAATAACCTGAAATTAACTAACCTGGTTTTTTAATATAAAAGTGCTGCACCCCTAGTCCTCAGGACTTTTCTTAACTCCCTGGACTCTTCTTGAAAGAGGGCATGTTTATACTGGATATTAGGAAAATTTTTGACTGTGAGGCCCTGGCACAGGTTTCCCAGGCTGCCCCTGGATCCCTGGAAGTGTCCAAGGCCAGGCTGGACAGGGCTTGGAGCAACCTGGGATAGTGGAAGATGTCCCTGCCCATGGCAGAGGGCTGGAACTGGATGGTCTTTAAGGTCTCTTCCAACCCACACCCAAACCATTCCATGTTTCCCTAATCTCTTGGGATGCCAGGAGAAATAATCTGACAGCCCCTCCAGCACCTGGGGATGGAGCTCACCTGGTCCCATTCCAGCCCCAATCTCTGGTCTAAAATCTGGCCCCAAACTCACAGGTCTTTCCTTCAAGGAGCAAAAATTCTTTTGTTTTTCTGGTGTTTGCTTTTTTTTGGGGTTGAAATCATTTGGGCACTACTGTGGCTGTTACAGTTTCCAAACCAGCAGCACATCGTGGCCTGACCCTGAAGGAGGAAACTTTTTGGCTTTTCATACAAAAATAAGGATATTTATATATATACACACACACAGAATAAGCTTTTTTTCTTTTTTTTTTTTTTCTCCTTATTTTTTTTTTTTAAGAGCTGACCAGCAGAAAAATGTGAAACCATTTCCCTGCAGGTTTGGAAAAGCTTGTGCTGGTGGGGTTGTGGGGGTTTGGGTTTTGTTTTCAGATGAGATCCAGGATATCTTTTTCTTCTTTTTCTTTTTTTTTTTTTTTTTTAAAAAGGCTTTACTCCCTCAAGGAAAAAAAAAAAAAAAAAAGATTTACAAACAAAATAACAGCCTGTATCAACTCTCCAGAAGAGAGATGGTATGACAATATTAATCCAAACATCACGCTATTTAATTCCCCAATAAAACATTGGAAAAAAAGGAGCCAACAGTATCTGCACTAACACTTTGCTACATATAAAATCTCCAGCTAATATGAAGCTTATGGTACCAACCTCTAAAACAGTTAAGATATATACACATAGGTTTTTTTGTCTGTGGTTTTTTTTTTTTTTTTGGGGGGGGGGGTATATTAACAAACAGAATATTACAAAATATTAAAGAAGGCAACTCTTCTGTCATTTGTTTGGGGTTGTGTGTGGATTTTTGTTCCTGGTTTGTTTTTTCTTTTCTTCACTTGAAGTTGGCGTAGTCTGAGAAGGCGTCGATGTATTCCTGCACCACCTTGTAGCAGAATTCGTACTGTTCCTGTGGGATTCGGGGAGAGAACGGTGTTAGGCCAGGAAAATCCACACCTGAGGCATCATTTGATGGTTTGTGCTCTTTGGCAAGCTGGGACCATGCATGGCCAGGTGTCCTCAGCTGGATTCCCACCCGTGAGGTTCCCACCTCCTTTGTGACCCCCAAACCCACCCTCCTTGCTGAGGTACCAACAGCAAAAGAAACTCTCTGCTTTCTGCTTCCTCTCTCAAGTCCTATTTTGACCCCAAAAGAGTTTTTTCCTACATCCCTGATCATCCTTGCAAACCCCTCCGGCAAGACCTCATCCAGCTCTGCCTGCTCCAACCCTCCCTGTGTGCCCAAGCCTGTGCCACAGCCACTCCAGGACAGTGTTCTAGGTTCCTGGAGCCCATAAATATGGGACTGTGGTTAGGGGTGTCTCCAACGAGGCTCCTACAGCTCCTCTTAGTGCTCAAAAGGTGCTTGACACCTTCAGTATCATCTTCCAGATGCCTTAACAAGAGGAAGGGCAGACACCTCCTGGCACATCTCCATAGAATCATGGAATCCTAGAACAGTTTGGGTTGGAAGGGACCTTAAAGACCATCTTCAACCCCCTGCCATGGGCAGGGACACCTCCCACTAGACCAGATTGCTCAGAGCCCCATCTGACCCAGCCTTAGACACTTCCAGGGATGGGGAATCCACAACTTCCCTCATGGAGAGGGAAAACCTTGAACCAGGGAGGTTTCTGCTCAACACTGAGCCCCCAGCCCACCCTTGCTGAGGCTTTGGTGCAGCAGGAGGCCCTTACCAGTGTCTGCACCATGTGTGGCCTCTGTAGTCTTAAACTCTTCACTGTCTGAAAGACGTCCAGGATCGCCTCTGCCTTCACCCTCTCCAGGACAGTGCTCAGCGCACAGAAGGTGCCTGTTCTTCCTGCTCCAGCACTGGGAAAGAAAAACCAGAGGGTGAAGGAAAACGCCTGTCCTGACCCCGTTGGCTTTGCTCAGGGCACAATCCGTAGGGGAAGCGCCGGAGAACTGGCGGAGCCAACGGTGCTGCCCCAGCCTCTCCCAGTATATCCAGGATGTGCTTTGGGGCTCTGACCATCTCCCAAGCTCCTGGTCCCTTTGGAAGGGTGTCCAAGCTGCTCCAGTACTTTACCTGCAGTGCACAGTGATGGGGTGGTTGCCAGACTGCTGCTGCTGCTTCTGCACTGCCGCGATGATGTTGATCATCCCCTTCCCGTCCCCGGGGATCCCGACTTCTGGCCAGCCGTGGAAATGGAACTGCCGGATCTGCCGGCTCTTGTTTTCCTGGTGGGAGAGCACAGCTCGAGGTCAGGCAGGGTTGGTGGGAGATCTGCACCAAGGAACCCACCAGCTCAGGGCTTTGGGAAAACCATCCATGTGGGAAAGCTGCTGGCGGAGGGGTGGCATTCCCGTGGCACGGAGCAGGGCAGGTGTGGGGAATGGGGAGAAGGAGGGAGGATGGGTCCAGGTGGGAACAGGGATGAGGTGAAGGAGGGTGAGGGCTGCTGGGTGGCAGCAGGGCAGAGGGCAGGATAGGAACTCTCAGGGGTGTCATCACCCCTTTGGGATGACGGGGGGATGATGGAGCGGAAGAAACGCCAGCAAGGACTCATGGCAGCGAAACCCAGGAGCACCCAGAGCTTCCCAGGACAGAATCCAGAGTCTCACCCTGGTGTTTGTCACCAGCAGGTCCCGCACTGTGTAGCTCTCACACTCCTCCTCTTTCTTCAGCTCCACAGTGATGTCTCCGTAGGACACGGAGCCGTCAGATGGCCAGTACTGGGCACACTTCTCCTGAGGAAGCAACACAGGGGGGGGACAGGGTGAGCACCCTGTATTTTTCCAAAGGGATTGGATAGAGGAGTCTTCTGGGGCCTGCAGCTACCCAAAACCAGGTGGGATCCCAGACTCCCAGAATCACAGACTGGTTTGGGTTGGAAGGGACCTTAAAGACCATCTCGTTCCAACCCCCTGCCACTTCTTTATTTTGCTGGTGTTTGATGCAGCTTTTCCCGGGAGCTTACCTGGCCTCTCTCCTCCAGCTCTGTTAGCATCACTATGGAGCAGGATTTCCACTCCCAGATCATCCTCCAGAAGTCCTCTATCGTGTGCTGCAGTGGCCCTTGGCTGGCGATGTAGGAATCCTTCTGGCGATAACCCTGAAATTCGGGAACAGGGTTAGTGGTGAACTGGAAGCACCTGGATGACAGGAGCAGCAGGAGGAATGCTCTTGGACATGGTTGGGTTTTCAAGCTGAGGGAGGATCATATCCCCTACACATGCCCTACTTTATCCATTCAGGGAAGAATGATTTGGGTTTCCAGCAAG